GGCACAGCGTCACTGGCCCTCATGTGGGATCCGAACCGGGGCGCTGCTGCTCAGAGCTGGCGTCCCAAGCCAACTCTTAACCAATGTGCCACTCGGCCGGCCCAGATTTATAGTGTTATTATTAGATTTATAATAGCCGCATCTGTAAAATGGGGATATTAACAACAACAACCTCACGGTGTTGTCATGAGGATGATATTTAGAGGTAATTTACATAGAATTCGTAGTCCACTGCTCGGCACATAGTGAATGCCAGCTATCCTTATTACCAGACACGTCCCTGTAATGAACTTGATCGGCTATATAGTCTTCCATCTTTTGTCTGGACCTTCCTTTATTTAACCAGTTCTGCAGTCATTTCCAACTTTCCCTTATTGTAAACTAACACAAAACAGGAGTAACTGTTGTGTGTGAAAAAGAAATTAAATAGCAAGCAAAGTAAAAAAACAAAACATTTTCCAGTTCTGAAGAACTAAGACCCCCTTCTTTCTCTGCAGGAAAACGTGGAGAGAAGGGTGACCGGGGAGACATGGGACGGGGACATCCTGGAATGCCTGGGCCGCCAGGGATCCCAGGTAAGACGTTGGCTCTGCCCGGTGGCAGTTTTGTCCCTCTGCTCTGGGATTAATGACGTGTAGACAAGTGGGTCTTTTCCATGGAGCTCCATGCTCGGCCAGCTCAGTGTCACACACCCAGCGTTTGCATCCCTTTGGAGCACCCAGGAGCCTCTGGGTGGGGTGTGGCTGGGAACTGGACAGCTGGGATTCTGAGTACTTTCTGGGTAGCACCAAAGTCTGCTTCATGGAGGGAAAGGAAGAGCATTTGCTCCCAAGACTCACTGATGGGGAGCTGGGACGGATGCACCGTCTGTGTGACTCTCAACCTGTGTATCGGGGCAGAGTCCCTTTTTCCTGGTGTCCTTGGCTTCACTCCCTGTCCCCCTCCCGAAAAATGGAAATTAAGAATTCCAGGCTCGAGACAGGAGGACGCCCTGATAGCTTGATCTTCTCCGTTTCACAGGACTCCCTGGACGGGCTGGCCAGGCTATCAATGGCAAAGATGGAGATCGAGGGTCCCCAGGGGCCCCAGGAGAAGCAGGCCGACCTGGTCTGCCAGGCCCCGTGGGGCTGCCGGGCTTCTGTGAGCCTGCAGCTTGCCTTGCAGCCTCAGCCTATGCCTCTGCACGCCTCACAGAGCCTGGATCCATCAAGGGGCCATGAACATCAGGCCAGGACAGAGCCGGGCGAGCATCTTGGGGGTAAAGGACTAGGTCCCCTTTGGTGGACATGCGCCTCATCCCTCAGCCCAGGAAACTAGCTTTCCCAGGACCTTCTGTCTGGAACCCAGGAGCTCTGAGGAAAAGGAAATTCTAAAACATGGGGGAAGGGAAGGGAGGGCATCGGAATGAAAAAGTGAGGCCAACAGACAGGGCAAGTGTCCCTGGAGAGTCCACGCGCCCAAGAGGATGAGTGGCTTTCCTTCCTGGAGCCCCACCCAGATGTTACCAAAACAAATGTCTCCTTAATTTGCGTCCTCCTCTACTGGCCGTCTTGTCCTTGGGGCAGGTGGACTGAGGTCTCTGCTGGTTCCTGATTCCATTTCTCCCCCTGGGCTTACCGGGTGACGGCTGATGGGTGACTACCTGAGGTGGCCATCCTTAAGCCAGCCCACTGTTTCCACCCTGCCTCCCTCCCATCTGAGTATTTAAACACCCATCTCCCTTCTCTTTCTGGCATCACCTTCTCCCACCACCCCCAGATCCACGCAGGCCTTTCTGTAAATAAAAGCCCCCAACTTGGGTACAAACCAGGATGTGAGTTGTGGGGCTTAATTACTCATGGATTGGGGGTGGGACTCCACTGCCTGGGCAGGATGGTCAGGGGCTCTGGAAGGGGAGGGGAGAGGGTGGGGTACCTTCCTGTGGGTACATCCTAAACTGCAAGCATGTTTGAGGAACATCTGTGGGAAGAGCCTGGGGTGGTCAGGACAGTGACCTGCTGTCTCACTTTGGGCAGTTCCCTTCCCAGCCTTTGTACAGCTGTGGCAAGGACTCAGCCAGGTGTTACATATCCCTGGTGTCTTGCCAGGGCCTGGTACACAGGAGGTCCTCTGTGAATTTCGGCACCCATTGTGTGCTGGCGCTGGGGCAGGAGCTGACAGCAGCAGATTAGAAGCCTTGGCTCTTACCTTCCAGCGGTTCCCGGCCCTTGAGGAAAACAGGCCTGGATGGGCCTGGATGATGCGAGCAGAAGTGACATTCACTCCCACCACTTTCACTAAGGGGATGTCTAGGGGAGATGGGCTCAAATCTGATCTGTACCCCTGGGGGCTCCCAGCCTCACAGCTGTGTAGGCAAGCAAAGCTACTCTAAGCAGCAGGGAAGGGCATGGCAGGTGCCTCTGACCCACGTGAAGATGGGAGCTTTGGAAATTCAGGAGTGACCAATCCTTTTGCTCCATTATTGATTGCCCCGGCCAAATGAAGTGTTCTGCCAGCCCCAGGCCCTCCTGGAGACACAGGACTCCAGCCGGAGGTCTGAGCATTTTCTGAAGCCTGGGCCCTCCTGCACCTCGCCCTAAACTCGGCTGTCAGTCCCCACCTATGATGGCGCACCCTTCTCTTCCTCGGCCGCAGAGGCAGAGAACCCCTCTCACTAGACAACCCTGTCTCCTCCCTCCCTCGCCCAATACACTCACACCCCACTGGTGCCATCTCAGCTCCCTTACCCCAATCCAGGGACAGACAGGAAGCATAAGCCTTGAGGGCCACAGAAGTGGCTTTGCCCTCAGTGCTTTGGCAAATCCCGAATCACGGCATTCCCCCCCCACCCCACAAAAAAAGGCCCCACAGCTGCTGTGGCTGCAGGAGCCTTAGAATCTAGAGAATCTAGGGCTCAGTGAGGAGGGGAAGTGGGCGAGAGTCACAGGAGGCAGCTGCAGCCGGCCCTGAGCAGGCCCCCAGGCATGTCATACCTGGGGGGGAGGGGATTCCTCCTTCACGGGCCAAGTCACTTTACCTGTCCTGGTGCCTGAATCCTTGGCCTTAGAGAGTCATTTAAAAGAGAGAAAAAGAAAAGAAAATTTCAAAAACAAAAACAGTGCCTGACACATAACAGGTGCTCAATAAACAGTTACTGAGTGAACGAGTATGGTCAGGATGCTCCAAGAAGACCCACCAATCATCAAACCAGGAAGGAA